AACGGGCGATGGGACGAGGGGGAATGGTCTGAAGTTGTGCCAGGGCAGGTCTAGGTTGGACATTGGGAAAAATTTCTTCACCGAAAGGGTTGTCAGGCTCTGGAAAGGGCTGCCCAGGGAGGTGGTCGAGTCCTTGTTCCTGGGGGTACTTAAAAGACGGGTAGATGAGGTGCTTAGGGACAGGGTTTAGTGGTGGGATGGCAGGGTTAGGTTAATGGTTGGACTTGATGATCTTAGAGGTCTTTTCCAACCAAAGTGATTCTATGATTCTATGAAGTACATACTTAGCTACTAAACAGTTTGGTTAACTAGCTGCCTGCGGGGATGTTTCTCCCCATCTGTTCCTCTGGCAGGGCTGGGTACCACACTCTGCCTTTCCCAGGCATCCACCTGCCTTGCCGACCCCCTGCTCCCCGGGCCTGACCCGCTCTCTCCATGTCTCCCAGGGGAAACGTGCTCCCGCTTACTTTCGAAGTTGAGAACGATGTGCTGGAGGCAGAGCTCGGTGAGGTGGGGGACAGTGGCGAGGGACCACTCGGGATCCTCAAAGACGCGGCGTGTATCGTGCAAGCCAGCAGGGAGGCTGGCCTGGGATGGATACAGCGGGGGAACGGCTGCGCTCCTGCCACCAGCCCCCGGCTGCTGCATGCTGCTCAGGACCCACCTCTCCTTCAGGAGATGGGAGAGGAAAATGGCTTGAGAGTCACCACCACATTTTCCAGCTGGGCTGCCTGCAAAAGAAAAAGGCAACTTTAGAAAGAAGGCAGCGGTAAGAGCGGGCTGCTCACGCTGCCCTCCTGTAACGTGCTTGGCCCCTGCCCTTTGCCTGCCTCCTCTTCTGGGACTGGAAGCACTGCAGCAAAACAACCATTGTTCAGCCTTATCTTTATCGGCCACCCTGTACAAAGAGGTCTCTAGGCACTGTGTGTAATAAGCAGATAATAATGTGGTGTTAATTCAGAGTGCTATTGAAGAGGATGGACAGGAATTGAGAGTTTACTGCCTTTTTCAATAAAAGAACTAGGTGACGCCGTCAGGAGATGGGTCTACAGCAAAGGAGAACAACGGTTCTTCACACGATCTGCGGTTGGACCGGGGAATCCCTTGCCACGGGATGCTGTGGGTGCTGAGAGTCTGTGCAGGTTCCAGGACAAATCCATGGAAGAGAAACCCCTTGAGAATGATTCAGTGCACAGAAACCACAGCTGGCTCCGTGTGAGTTGAACACAGCTGGAGGCAGGGAAGGGGCGGACAGGCAGAAGTGAGGACTGGGAGTCCCCTCTCTGCGAAGCCCCCTGCCCCCGGAGGAAGGTGCTGTGGTGGCAGGCCACCACGGAGGGGGAAGAGACGAGGCCTGATTCTCCAGTGCATGCTTGACCCAGCTGAAACCCAGCTCCTGGTGCTTGATGGACTTCGGCAGAAGGGCAGAGCACAGCCGGGTGGCAGTGAGGTGGCATTAATAGAAGAGAAGTGACTGGGAAAAATGTTTTCTCCTTGCTCAGTCCTTCGTCCTATTCAAAAAGCATCTGTGTCATTCAGTCCCCCAGGCCAGTCACAGCTAATTGGAGCTTCTGATGGCTTTCCTGACCTTTTGGAAGCAATTGTGAAAGGCCAGCTGTTGGGGAAAACCAGTGCAGCATCCGTGGCCTAGGATTGTTTCATGGCTGCCTTCCAGCAGATGATCTGATTGCCAGTTTACCAATGGCAGATTGATTTTTAGAGGGCACGTAACCCGTGGCGCATGTGGGACGGCTGAAGTGGCTCCTGGAGACCAAATGGGAGACACAGCTGCCCTCAGGCAGAGCCGAAACCCAGCTCTAGAAGCAGCGCAGCCCCTCTGTGCAGAGGATGAAGGTCACTGTGTGAAGCTCACTGGTGTATGCTACCCTGCTGTGGACCAGCCCCAACGTAGGGTGGCCCCAGAAGAGATGCAGACAGCTCAGGGTGTCTGTGCCCGGGCTGCTGAGGGGCTTTCCCTCGACCTGAGCTCCACAACAAGCCAGCTTAGCTGACCCCGCCATCCCCACCCGGCATTCGGCGTGAAGCCAGCAAGAGCAAGGCCAGGTTGGATGGGGCTCTGAGCAGCCTGATCTAGTTAGCGGTGTCCGTGCTCACTGTAGGGGGGTTGGACTAGATGGCCTCTAGGGGTCCCTTCCAACCCAAAACATTCTATGAAACAAACATCCTACGCTTCTAAGGCTGCCGGCGTGCGACAGCCAGCCCACAAGGCGTCTGCAGAGTGGACGGGGCTCTGAGCAGCCTGATCTAGTTAGCGGTGTCCGTGCTCACTGTAGGGGGGTTGGACTAGATGGCCTCTAGGGGTCCCTTCCAACCCAAAACATTCTATGAAACAAACATCCTACGCTTCTAAGGCTGCCGGCGTGCGACAGCCAGCCCACAAGGCGTCTGCATCAACCCCATGCCTTTGGTGCCGGGGGTGGTGGTGGGGGGGGCTGAGTCTGACACTGAGTCACTGCTCGCACCTCATCCATTCCCACCGCCCCCAGCACGGTAAGCACGCCCCCACCAGCCATGCTTACTGCCAGGGGAAGGGGCCTCTTTCACTGCTGCATCCCCTCCGCCTCGGCTGCGGGAGTCTCACCCAGCCAGAGCTAGCACCCCAAGCCAGTTCCCACAGCTGGGTTTGCTAAGCGTGTATTTAAACACCGGAGAAGCACTGTAATTCACTACCAGTAAGCCAAGTCGACAGTGTTAACGCACGCTCCTTCCCATCCGCTCTACATCCACATCAGTCACCTATAGGGGCCTATAGGAAAGATGGGGACAAGCTTTTTAGTAGGGCCAGCTGTGACAGGACAAGGGGGGATGGTTTTAAACTAAACCAGGGTAGGTTTAGACTAGATATAAGGAAGAAATTGTTTCCAATGAGGGTGGTGAAACCCTGGGAGGGGTTGCCCAGAGAGGTGGTGGAGGCCCCATCCCTGGGAACATT